GAAGCAGAACACACACAATCAATTTGAGTATTTGCTATTCAGTTTGCAAGACCTGCTCTGTAGATAATCCAGAAAAATATATCATGCTTTTCCTTTCTATATGTAAAACAGTTCTTCACTAAAATGTCAACTATAACCTATTTTAACTGAGCTCTGTGAATAAACTCACAAACATCCCCCAAATATAAGTCATGCCCAGAATTAAGAAATTCCAGGTATAGATTAAAGTCTACTGTAAAAGTACCTTTTATGCAGGTGTCAAGCAAATTACTTTATAAATTTTCCTAAACACATTTTAATTTCTATAGCATGCAGCTATGCAATCTACAGTATGTACAATACACATATCAAAAGATTTCAGAAAAAACCTTGACTCTCCCTCAACAGCATATCTGATGCACTAACATATCACAATTCAGCAATATTTCTGGTCCTCTTGCATCTGTGAAGCAAGATATTTTGACTGAGTACACAAAAGGTGCCAATTTCTAGTGGGAATTTGAATATCAGACTCCTAAGACTGTAAATCTTTGGAAAAGATTTTTTTTAAAGGAAGAGAGGAAACCATAAGCTTTAAAAAGAGCTACATTTATTTTTGTTTACAGCAAATGCCATAAATAAAGCTAAACAGCTTTCATAGTGCAAAATACAGAATTTCCATGTAACAATTTAAATACAGAATTTAAAAAACCTAATTAAATTTTTCTCAATTAAGATCATGAAGCAAAAAGAAAGCAATAGATAGAGAAGGACAGGAAAAGAGTCCTTGATGGCATTCTTTAAAGAAATGAAGACTCTGCAACAGAAGGTAAAGAAACATAGCAATGGCAAGTAATTTGAAATGAGAAACCATTCCTTCATAAAACTTATCTTGATGAAGCAGGCAGAGTTTAGTTTAAAAAAACCCAACAACCTTCCCTCCCACCCCCCTCACCCCAAAAAAAACCTACACCCAAACCATTACAATTATTAAAAAACCCTATACTTGTGCGCTGGCCTGGTGGTGCAGGAAGTGTTAGGTCAATGCCATGCAGTGAACTGGGGTTTTTGTTTTAAAAGGGATTTTTAATTCTTGTAAAGAGTTTAAGGATACCAGCAAACTCAATTATTTTAGTAATATGTACACAGACAGTAAGATTTTGCACACCTGTTTCTATTGTCCTTCCTCATTCTACAGTAAGGCATGCAGAATGATTTCTTCACTGGGATGTTTTCAAACTCCTTAATGTTTTGTTCAGAAAGTTTTAGATTAATTCACTAAGAACCCGTACCTGCAGTTGGAACCACTGTGATTTCAATTAGAATTTACAAAAGTGAAGGGTTCTATCTTACTAGATCCATTTGCAGAATTATTACCTATGTTTCCATTTGTAGTAATCTCTTTTTAGATCATTTGATTCAAATATGCTTGGCATCTAAAAACATTTTATAAGCCCTTCATAAGAGATAAAGGTAACTTCTTATGCACAAAGACACATTATCAGTTTATAAAACAAATGCCAAGGTTGCTAATGGGGCATAGTGAAAAACTTATTAATAAAAACAATTTCAATCAAAACATTCCAATTTGTACAATCTTGGTATTTTAATATTAGAATCCAAACTGCCTTAAAAACAAAATCACTTCCATTTTTTATTAAACGATCAATGGCGCGCTAAATTGTTTTCCTTGAATGGGATATTTTTTTTTTTTTGGCCCTGAATGTCATTTTTGTTTCATTATAAAGTTCACCTTTTCCCCCCCTCTGAATATTAAGGAAAAATGGTATAATACTTTTTCATCCAGATAACTAAAAGGTGCTTTATGAAACCAGAAAGCATTACTATCCCCACTTAAATAAGACACAGAAGACCATCTATAAAATTCTTCAAGCTCTGGATCTGAACTAGTGCAGGTATTACGTTTTAGAAGAAGTAGCTTTTTATTTAATTCGTGTTTGAGAAACAATGACATTGACTAACATTTAAAAAACATGAGAAGATTTCATGTAGGGAAGGACGGAAAGAAATATACTTTATAGAAATATAAGAAACTGTCTTTTGTACATTGTGCATGCAATTGGTTAAAAAAGAATCATGCTAAATCTTTAATCTATTAATATACCAGACACACAGTTTCCTCCAAAATGGTTTTAAAGAAAAGCCATCTTATGTTGTCAAATTAGGGGTTAGTCACAATATTCTGAAACTGGTAAGCAGAACAATCACCTTACAACAGGTGAGGTGAAATGTTTCAGCCAATGAGAGGATGGAGAACTGGAATGTTGAAATTAACTAAAAGCAACAGAGGATATTGGAAAAAGGAAAAAGAAAGGAAAGGATCCTTAGTTTGTCTACAGGAGTTAATCACAGATTACTAGGCAAAAAAGATGATATAATGGAGAAAAATCAACCAAAATTAAATTGCCTTATTAATTTATGAGTGATAGTTTTCTTCATTAATTTATAAAGAGGAACAGTTTTGAACATTAATAGTAGAATTTTAAGACTAAGGATAAAACATACATGGATTATATAGTAACCAATGTGACATTTTTAGTGATACAAACAATTTTGAAATGTCAGCAAACATATAATTTCATGTGCCTTTATGATTATAAAGCTTTTCATGAATATATTTTCCCTGAATTTTGTTGTTTTAAAAATTAATCTGTAAATAACCTACAGATTATTGTATAATGCTTAACTTCTTTGTTTCACTTTTTACTAATAAGGTTCATTTTCTTAGTTAAAATTCATGGTATATCAGGTTTTCAAGCTTCTTAGTACAATTTGCTCAGGCTGCGAAACTTCAGAATTTACAAACATTAGTGGAGAAATTTTAGGGGAAAATAGTCTCTTGGACTAGATTTTAGATAGACACTCCAACACTCTGAAACTCAAGTTAAATAAAATCAGGAAATGCATTTCTTAATATTTTTAGAATTGCTGGAGTAACATGGTAAATAATTTAAAAAAAATAAAAAGCTCATAATTTTAAGTTTTTACTAAAGAGGAATCCAGTATTCAAAATATTCTGAAATAGTACAATAAACATTTCTCTACATCTCTACAGGTGCTTACCATATTACCGTTATGGTCACTGTGTCCTGTCAAAAGTCTAGCAAGTTCTCATTGGAATATGTTTTTTGCCTTATTGGCAAGTTGCTTCAAATGACATGCTGTACTTGGAAGCAAATTCTTTGTATAAGCCTTTGCATACATCCTTCTCATCCTGCCTAAAAAATTCTGAAATGCAGTCTCATTGAAGACTGTACCTGGTTTCATTTTCTGTATTTTTTGAAATAAAGATAGATTTTTCTTCAGATAATTTTATTTCTATTGAACCAGCAAAACTGAACATTAAAAAAAAAATCTAAGCTTTTTACTGCCAAACAAGAATGAATGCTTCCATTTGGTCTTTTTCAATATATATTAATATCAACCCATTTAAGATCTTTGGCCCCCGTTTATTTTGTTCCACTATTTGGCAACATGTTTTCTGTGGCTTAAATGAATGCCTTTTTATTAGAAAAATATTGCTACAAATACTTTTAATTTTCTGGAGATCTGTTCCCTGTCAAATAGTGAGTTCACAGAGATACAGAAGTGTGTATAACTGGTAAAGGAGCTGAACAACTGTCAAGTTTGGCAGATTGTTCACGACAAATTGCTATCAGATAGTGCCATACATTCTAGAGAAGTTTTTGGATTAAAGTACCTCTTGACATGGGGTCTACCACAAAAACAAAAAACCAAACAAACTTTTCTTCAGAGATGATACAACTTAATAATTTTGATTTTTCAGTCATTATCATCTTACACTGAAATAATAAAACATCTAACTGAACAATCAGTGTAAAAACACAATATTTCTAAGTACTTCTATTTTACTCAAATATGGCTTTTTAGACATCTCAGTGCAATATATTGTAAGCTAAGGGCTCAGTCCAAAGTCATTTTCAGCATCTACAACACCTGCTGACTTCAGCTAAAGCAGTAGGTATTCAACTCTCTTTGGATCAGACCCCAAATGAGAAAATCTCTTCATTTTGGGAATAATTAAAAGCTAACTATACTATGTTTCTTATAGCTGACTATTTCAATTAATTGTCCACTCATCTAAGATTTGCTCTTTAAATTTATTTCAGTTTTAGATAAACTAGTATTACAGAAAATACCTAGTATTAACAAAGGATATCTCAAGTAATAAATTAAAAAAGGCATGGCTAGAAATAGGTGCATTAAGTACACATTTTTTTTTTCAAAACAACTCCATGCAACTAGTAAACCTTGTACCCAGAGCAAGAGATGAAAGCAAGAGAAAAAGGATGTGCCATATTCAGGTTTCAAAACCCAGTCACTTGTCAAATCACTTTGAAATGTCTGAAAGAATATATTCTTCCTTCGTCTTTAAAACAAGAATTATAAAATGTAAACCTGGGAACATGGTTGTTTCACAGTGAGAAATACACCCCTGCACAAATGTTAATAAAATATCCTTCATTTAGTCCCCATGTTCTGGAAATGCATCTGGACACTGAACTTCATGATATTGTACTGTACAAGTAAATGTTTTAAATTCATAGTATGTTTTGATTGCACCTAGTCTATCAAAGTGAGTTCTTTCTTCACTTAAAGCATATATTAAATTGAAATGTTTATTAACATATTGCTAGGCTGTTAATTTTGGAAATCTGAAAGGCACAAATTAGCAACACACTTGAGAGGAATTTAAGCCCTAAAGAACTTTTTCACCCATTCAAGCATGTTTTCAAGTGATAGCTCTGCTTCCCGATACATGTGAGTAAGTACCTCTAGCTGCGCACAGAGGAATGGCACACCAAGGCTCAAGAGTTCGTACAGGTAGGTATAGTTATATGCATTGTCCCGCAAATGAAGATTGATAGCGTGCAGAAAACCATGCATCCAGTTAGACAGGCATCTTGGAATGTCAAGCAGATCCCTCGTCACCTTAAGGGGCCAGCTTAGAATTCTCCTAAAGAAGGAAGTCATGATACCTGGGGGCCTGTCCTCTGGACCGCTAACAGTAGAAGAAGTACTTTCTGTGGTGGTGTCTGGATGCTTGGGTTCCTCTTGAGTCCACATTTCTGTTTCCACCTTAAAAAAGGAAAATAAAAACAAATTAAAAACAACTTCACAAGGATTTAAATATAAATACCTTTACAAAGATTAACAGGTTCCATGCCCAGAAGGGACTCTCGCCCATTGCTATACACATAGTCCTGGGGTACCAGTTGCCTTCCCAGAATTACATCAACTAACTTAGCTATTTGCCTAGTTTTACAAACAGGCTACATAAAAAACACTAGCAAAGTCAGTACAAACCACAATTGTATATAATGACTTTATACTATACCATACATTGACATGTATATTTATATTCCAGTGGATTTATTATCTGATATGAGAACATAAGCAGTTTTTCAAAGACAGTGTGCTCTGACCCTTTTGTTTTTTTATCTGATTTTATAAGCAAGTAGTTTTTAAGCAAGGTGTAAGCAGACTCCTGAAAAGGATACAATCGTCTAGAAAGGATGAGCGCCACTGACGTAGTCTATGATGAGCTATTCTTACATCCTGTGTAACACAGGCTACAGAACTTCCCCAATATAACTGCTAGAACAGACCTTTGGAAAAAAATCACACTCAACAAGTTGTTCCACTGGCTAATACTATATTCTCGTGTCTGACACCTACAGGTGGATTATATCATGTAGCGCCACAAATTCCTTTTAGTCTATGATAGTGACACATATGCACAATTGGGAGGGTAGAACAGACAAAGATTTGCAAGAGTAAATTGAACTTTCTATGATTACCAAGAAACAAAGATTAACTGAAGTTCCATGGCTGACTCAGGTCAACTTCAGCTTTACTTTATCAATTTTTTTTTTAAATAAACAAAGGTCTGGTAACACTTTATAGACCAACAAAACATGTAGATGGCACAGCCCACAAAAGCTAATGATACCATCTACATGTTTTGTTAGTCTATAAAGTGCTACCAGACTGTTTGTTGTTTTTTTCCTGTAACAGACTAACTCGGCTATCCCCTGAAGTTTCTTTATTATAGTGTTAGCTTTAACTACTGAATCTCAAACCATAAATGCGGCAAATGCTAAACAATAACAGGTTTGTATTACTTTTGGATAACATCTGAAGGAGGAGGATAAGGGGAAGGGGGCAAGCCAAACCCCACTAAACTGCCTCAACATTTATTGCATTAGAAGTATAACCAATACATACTTTCTCTTGCATCTTTAACATAGATGGTCTTTTTCTGTACTTATTGCTTGTTTTACAGCGTGTAAAATGAGGTTTGCAGTAAAATTTACCTGGGGAAAAAAAGTGACATTATATTTAGTCCATAGGTTCAAGGACTGCAAACAAGCCAATGAACCAGCAAAATAAATGAAACAGCAAGTCTAATGGTTAGAGGGCAGCAAGAGGAATTGGGACTTCTGTTCTATTCCCAGCTTTTCCACGGACATGATGAATGACCCTAAACGTGTCACTTTCCACGCAGTGGTTTCTGGGCTCATAGGGAGCATGACCCCATGTCACGTATCACACAGGGGGTTGAGGTTTAATTAACATGAATAAAATGCTTTGAGACCCTAGAAGTGCAACCCAATTTAAGATGCTAACCAGTTAACCTGTTGTACCTGTTCCACCATATATAAAGAAACAGTCATTGAAGCAGCGAAACTGGAATCTGGATCTACACTCTTCCTTGGTGAGTACGCTAGCCATGGGTGGTGGGTTTAAGAGGCAGGGGAAGGCACTGTCTTCCCAAATGGCCAGGCATGACCCCCATCCACAATCCACCCCCAGAACACCTGTTGCTTCAGCACAGCTACCATGCTGAGGCTGCGCATCATCCATCTTCCCCGTGATGCTCTAGGAGGCTGAAGGTTTCCCCCTGTGTTGGGGGTGTAGGCTTGGCTCCCGTGTGCCCCTCCCCCCTGCCAGCCCTACATTCATCCACTACCCCTAGCCATTGGAGTCTTCTCATTCTGGCCCAATGAATATTTAGAGTGACAGCTTTAAATAGGACAGGTTGAAAAAAAATTCATCCCCACAACTCCCCCAAGGCCTGAAGTTGGGTTTCTTGTCTCTCAGGAAAGTGTCCTACATTCAAAACCCTTCTCTGTATCAGGCAGAGGGAGGTATTGAACCTGGGTCTCCCACATCCTGTGTGACCTAAAAACATTTAAAAATTGTAAATGGGGGGGTTCTGGGTGGGTTTATGTGGGGCTCAATCCAATAGGCTGCTTTTGAGAATGCTTAGTGGATCAGGCCCTGCAGGTGAGCTAGGCAGGAGAACACCTAGTTTCAGTATCCCTTAGGGTTTGAGTGTGAGATAGGCACCTAGATGGAGGTGGCTGTCCTCACATCCCAAGAAGAGAAACTCAGGTGCCATGGGGACTGAAATGATGGAAAAGTGTTTGGGGACTTTAGGAATCGACAGGGCTAAGGCAGCAGCTGAATAGGGGTTTTGAGGCTCAATGGTACCTAAATCTTGGGCTTAGGTGCCTAACTGCTAAATTAGGTGGCAAAGGTTTTTTTTTTTTTCTTTTGGTGCGGTTCTACACTACGGGTGTGTCTAGACTACAGAGTTTTGTCGACAAAAGTGAACTTTTGTCGACAAAACTATACCTGCGTCTACACTACCGCTGAGTTCTGTCGACATAACGTCGACAGAACTCAGCAGTTTTGTCGACACTGGTAAACCTCATTTTACAAGGCATAACGCCTTCTGTCGACAGAGTTCTGTCGACAGAAGGTGTTATTGCATCTAGGGTTGTGTCTAGACTACAGGGTTTTGTCGACAAAGCAGCTTGCTTTGTCAACAGAACTGAATGTAGTCTAGACGCTCTTTGTCGACAGAAGATTTGTCGACAAAAGCCTGTAGTCTAGACGTACCCTAAGTCTCTGTATACTGTGATGCAACAATATAGCCACCAAAGTTCAGATCCTATTCTGAGCATTTGGGGAAGGAAAGGGGACATTCTTGTACTTTAACAAATCCTTTTCTAAACATAGGGGGCAGCCATGCAAGGCAGAGGTGGATCCCAATAGCTTTAAAGTTTGGAGAATAGAAGAATGCATTGTATCAGGAGTTTGCTGAAGATGCTGCTTTCAACTTTGAGCTACCATCTCTTTTTTGGGGGGTGGACAATCCACACTTTTCCGGTTTGTTTCAAATCTGCCTGTATTCTGCCTCCCTCCCACAGTGTATGTTGAATAAAGAAAATTATTTTTTATAAATGTGGGATGATTTTTTATAAATGTGGGAGAGAGTGTGATGTTCAAAGTGATGTTCAAAGCAGGAAGACACTCCTCCTTGTTCTTCGGCCCACAATCACAGAAGTGACATGTTTGATCTCCCAACTTAGTGTCTAGCAAATATTTCTTGATTTAAATAGGAATACCATACAGTCAGTCATAATTAGGCTTCAGTGAAAGGGTTGAGACTACAATTGCAGTCGGACTACAGATTGTGAAAGATCGGCCTAGAAAATGAACCATGCACCTCTCCTGACTGAACCACCTTGCCTCTACATTTTCTTGTTCTGCACAAACTCAATATGCATCTATTTTTAAATAAAAAATAAAAATAAAAAAAATAATCTTATATAAATAGCTACAATCTTACCTTCTTCTACATCAAAAGCATAGATTGTCAGGCGGAGTGTACTAGAACACACGGTGCACTTAAAACATTCCCTATGAAAGAAGTGGCCCTCTGCACTCAACCGTTCCATCACATACACCCGTTTCTTGCAGAAGTAACAGATGTCACTGCCACCTATAGTCCGAGGAAATTCTTTTCGCAGAGATCCCTGTTAAAGATAAGAAACAGATTAAAACATAGATAGGATACTGTGCTGCCAAATAACTGCAGTACTGTACATGCATATATTTCACCTACAACATTGCTGCTTTATGAAATATATCATCACATTTTTGCACACACACCAGAGGAGTAGTTGCTGTCAACTCTTCTCTATATTCATTTATTGTGTTATTCTATGTTTATAAAAAATGAAAGAAGACTCACTTTGCTAAGATTTGCAAGGGACAAATTTGAGCTGGGCTGCACCCAGCCTTTACATAAGGCTGTGTGCGCGAATGCATTTGTGCACACACCTTTATATACTTTCACTGACAAGGCAATACTCATCCCCCAATGTCCCCCCAAGGCAATATTCACCCCCAACTACAGCTTAGACAGAGGCTTGTTGGGGGTTCTGGGTGCAATGGTAATGGGACCCTGCAAGGGGAGTCCAGGTAAAGATGCAGCTCAGCAGAGGGGATCAGGGAAGGAAGGAACTTAGCAGAAGATCCAGATATTAGGAGAGTGGGGCGCTAATCCAGGTGCAGCTGATGCGGGCTCATTGGAGTGCTCCATGTCAGGGATCTAAAAATGTTTTAAAAAGTAACAACGTAACCATTCAAAATCTGAGTAGTTATACAGTTAACCATTTTTAGCAGGGTGCAACTAGGGAGGGAAAGATGGTGGAGTGGTATCCCTGCGGCTCCTGGGGAGCCAGCTTATGCACAGGGAAGAAGAGGGCTGAAGCTTACTGATCAACTGGTTAAACCCTCCCATGCCTAGTCCAGGTTCAGGGAGACTGCAGCACGTGGAGAGGCAGGTGTTCTGGGTGTAGGGTTCAGGAAGAGGATCTGGATGCATAAGGGTTGGGCAGATGGGGAGCAGCTCTCTGGAAAGGAATCCCTCCCGCTGCAGCTGAGGTACAATGCGGCTCAGAAAGAAGAAGAGGGAAGCATGGGTTTTTTTTAGAGCTTCCTGCAGCAGGAAGAGGTTCTGACTCCTCTCCAGAGGCCATGCAGGGAACAAGGATGTCCTGTCTTCCTCAACTGGAGTAGGAGTAGCGACTGAGCCTGGTTCCGGGTAGGAGCCACTAACTGGGTCTTCTGCAGTCCCAGCCCATGCTCCACAGCGATTTACCTCTCCCCTGGCTGCCCTGGGCACCCAAAACATACTGCTGGGAACGGTTGCATAACCACTCTTGAGGCTTCCCTTTGCTTCCTCATCAGAAAGTCATTTTTCTGCAGAAAAGCAAAGAATTCTGTGGGTGAAATAAATTCTGTACATGCATAGAATTCCCCCAGGAGGGCATTTGTATGAGTGTAAGCATTAGACTTTTAAATGGCTTAGGCAGATATTTGCACCTGCAAAACACAGACACATGAATTTGGAGCCCAAGTCCTGAAAGTGTACATGCTAAAAATGCAAATCAACTCAATGCATGAGACACTCTTCTGAGGCAGATCTAGCCTCATGCTGTAAGTTCCAGTGATAGAAATGCCACTGTTACTAGCAGAGGGCTTCATACTTTGGCATTAGTATTTGAAACTTTATTTATACTTAATTATTTTGAGATTGGATTTTTTTTCTGTCCTTAGATTGTTGTACAAGCTTTTACATACCCTGTGAGGGAACAATATCTAGACTACTTCAAGAATTGTCTTTTTAAAATAATATATTATTAACTACAGAAAAACAGATATGCCAGAGTATCCGGAGGTACTCTGGAAGGGGGGGCTGTGCAAGGTAGGAAGAGGACAACATAAGGAAAAAAACACAACTATTGTAGTACAGTAAGTGTATGCCATGCTCAGAAATCTGTTTTTGGGGGGGAGGTGTAAGTCCCTAATTAAACATATTTCTAATTATCTGAGAAATTATAAGGAGCATCAGAATCTTTTTCTGAACTCATATTTTTTAGCACCACAGATTCAGTCACAATAAAACTTAAACTTCTGAGTCTTTGTAGAAATGTGCAGATGAGTAAAAGGAGTATTTCTTATATGCACAAATTAACAATCTACTTGTCAGACTTAAATATCCGCCAGCACTTATACTGCAAGGACAATATACTTGAGGGTTGCCTTATTTATTTTTTAAATCAAAACAATCCTCTAAATTCAGGTGAAAGACAAAAGTGATTTGATGTGATTTTTTTCAGACGAAATGTTAAACGGGGGTGCTGCTGGGCATGGGGGTGAGGGGCGGTGCTGCGGGACCAACCAGGCAGCACCCCAGCTGCTCTGCGCCTCTTCCCCAAGTCCGCCACTGGTCAGTTTCAGCAGCGGCAGCAGCAGACTTGGGGAAGCAGCTCCAATTGTCCAGCTGGCCGGAGCACTTCCGGGTTCCTGTTGATGCTGGACTATCGGAGTGCCGGAGCTCTGGATGCCGGACAATTGGAGTTTTACTGTACTGATTTTTTAAAAAAGATGCTATTAGCATTGTTTATTTGCACAAGGTCTATTGCAAATCAATCTGTGCCTGCAAGGCCCATCAGGAATCAAATGGACCAAATTTGGTCATACTTCAGTTTTCCCACAAAAGGGCATGTATGACAAGGATGTAAAACTTCTACTGTATGCTCCCACTT